AGGAAGGAAGGAAGGAAGGAAGGAAGGAAGGAAGGAAGGAAGGAAGGAAGGAAGGAAGGAAGGAAGGAAGGAAGGAAGGAAGGAAGGAAGGAAGGCACCTTCACTCTGCCTTGAACACGAGTTCATGAACCGCTGTTTTCATTCAGGACTGTTCTAATTGAAACATCATGTCTTACACAACCAGCTCCTGCTCCATCCCCTTCCTTCACTCTTTCAGAAACCATTTCCTGCTTTTTCCAGCTGGACACGCCATCCTTCTTCCTGCTTTGARGCAAATATTTTGTTGGGTTTGGCTGCTGCCACAGCCACATGTATTCTSCCTGATATTTCATCCATCTGCTGCTGAAGTGAGTATTTGGAGCTGGAAATCTCCAAAGGGTTTTGAGGTGCTGAGATGAATCAGGAAGCAGCAGCAGCCCAGGAGGAAAATTGCAGAGCAATTTGAGCTGAAATGCCTCAAAAATTAAAWGCTGAGGGTGCTCACGGGCTGAGGAGCTGACCCATGGATGGAAAAATGGAATTGTGCTCCTGCCCTGGGGAGTTTGCCAGCACCTGCCTTGCCTCATTTCTGTGCTTGGGGAACATCTGGCTCTGCTCTGGGATGGGCACCACGGCCCCAGGGGTGCTGCAGGGCAGGAGATTTGTGCCCTGGGTGACTGTCTGGAGATGCCCAGAGCAGGTGACAGCCCCTGGTCTGACCCCCTTCCCTTCAAGGACACGCACAGAGCTTTCTCTTCAATGCTGCTCCTGTCTCCTGTTGTTTTGTGTTTTCTTTTTTGCTCGAGTTGTTTTGAATAAAGGATGTTTTTTGTCCCAGGAGTTTGTCTCTGTTCTTTTGGAGCTTGCTTGCACTGCTGCTATTTGAAAGTCCCTGAAATTCTCAGAAATGCTGCTTTTCACTGGGTTTGCTTCCTTGCACTTCAGGGGAGTCTCTTAATTAACATTTAAACCTGCATGTCCATCACAGCTTTGGGGAGACCTGGAAAACCCCAATATTCCTGTCCAGGCAGCAAACACCCCTTGGCTCCCCACACCCTGCAGGGTTTTCCCTGTCCCCGAGCTCCCAAACCCTGAGCATGGACATTCCCCCCTCCCCTGATCCTCAACTCTCACCAAAACCCCAAAACAGGGTGAGTTTTTCTCACCTAAAACCTGAAAAGCTCGGGCTGCTCCTGCTGTCAGTCCTTGGGGACAGTTTGGGACACGGTGCCAGGGGATGGACAGCTGCTGAATGACCCTTTGTCCCTTTGCTGGATAAAAGGGGCATTATAAACGCAGGGAAGAAGGATCTGCCTGTTCTTCCTATGGGGAATGCGGGATCTCCCGGCGCATCCCGGGCTGGGGTGATGGGCACACCTCGGGCACACGCGGAATGTTCTGCCCCGGCTCTATGGGCACASCAGGGATCGTGCTGTGCTGGAAATTGGGACAATAATGGGTGTCAGGACAGCTGTGGGGCTGGGAACATCCCTGGGGATGGTTTTAGGGTTTTTCTTTCGGGTTTTCCTCCCTCAGCCTTCAGTCTGGGAGAGAGGCAAAGGCAGATTGCAAAGGGAGCATTGAAGGAGTCAGTTCATTTCCAGGAAATCTTTCTTTTGTTCTTTCTTCTTCTTTTTTTTTTTTTTTTYCCCAGTGGAAAAGTTAAGTCCTCGTGAACTTTTTGAGAACTTTTGTTCGTTCCCTCTTGCCAGCTAAGCTCTGCTTTGTGCTGGGGACAGAACCCCTTTCTCCAAGCCCTGGCCATGGGCCAGGAGCTGGGGCTGTGCTCTGGGTGTTGAAAATGCCACCAATGCCCTGTCCCCTTCCCTCCGGGCTCAGCAAAGCCCAGCTCCCCTTTGGGGACTCTCTGGGGGGCTTTTTCCTTCTCCTCCTTGTGCTTGAGGTGATGGAGCAAACTCTGCTTTATTCACCTTCCTCTGCAACAAAAAATGTCAAATATCAGAGGGAATAACCAGCCCAGGTTTTGGTTCTGTGGAAGGAGCAGCAGTGCAGGCGCTGTCAGAAGGAATTTCTTTTCCTTTTCCAGCTGCTGAGATGCCCTTTCTGAGTCAGGATTTGTTTGCTGAGGGTTTTGGTGCTGTTTGAGTCTCTACATCATTCAAAACCCTGCAAAGGGATCAATCCCCCCATGCTGGGTGGTAAAGGGAAGAGATTTCCCAGAGTTTGTGTGTGTGAGAGCAGGACACAGAGGGCAGAGCAGAGGGGAGCAAATCCACCCAAACCCCATGGCCAGCAGCACCTGCACAAACCACAGAATGTCAGGGAAAATAATCCAACAGGGTCATGAAAATGGTATTTATCTCTGGAGGCTCCAGAACACCAAATAAACACCCTTCCCTTTCCCAAAATCTCCATCCTGGAGCTGAACAGGGGACACAAATGTGTGGTGATTTCACTCATCCATTTCCCAGGGGCWCAGAGCAGAAAGGGAAACAACCAGGGTGTCCCCAAAGATGTGTCCTGCAGCTGCCAAAATGTCTTTGGAAGCCGAGTGTGGGACATCCACCAGCAGTGATTGCAACACAGCCACCATGGGGACTGTGTGAGGAGAACTGGATGTTTTCTGTGAGGGTTTGAACCTTTACAGACGAGCTGGGCACTGGGGTGAAAGGAGGGAGGTCATTGAATGATAATTTGGGTTRGAAGGGGCTGTTAAAGGTCATCTAATTCAATCCCTTTGCAGTGATCAGGTCACCCCAACGTCAAATCCAACCTTTGAATATTCCACAGCTTCTCTGGGCACCCTGTGCCAAGGCCTCCCCACCCTCACAGGGAAAAATTCCTTCCTGAAAATCCAATCTAAACTCACTCTGTTCCCATTTGAAGCCATTCCCCCTCATCCTATCACCCCATGCTCTTGTGAAAAGTCCCTCCCCAGCTCTCTTTTGCTGCTGGAAGGGGCTCTGAGGAAAGTCTGGAACCTTCTCCTCCCCAGGCTGAGCACTTGAGCTGAGTAAACACCTCCCTGCCCTCTGCTGCACCTCCAGGCACCAGGGGAAGGAGCTGGAGMTGCTCCTGAGGGTCCCCAGCAGCGATGAGAGATGAGGGTGAAACTGCAGTTCCTATACAGACATTTATTGGAGGGGTACAAAAATAGAGTGCAAATCTCAGTAAGAACAAATCGTTGGCAAAGAGTCCCAGGCAGCRGTGGGAGAGGAGCCCAGGAGCTGGWGGTGAGTCCAGATTCCCTGGGGCACCCAGACCCAGAGAGATTCGATCCCAAGGGATGGCTCAGGACCCTTCTTTCKGGAAAACTTTCAGTCTTTCTGCTGCATCCTGCTTTGCTTGATAAYCTGCCCAGAGTGGGCACGATTTCATCACCCAGTGCAGCTGAGAGGAGAGCTGGGACCCTGCAGAGTGCAGGGSTGACACCTTCTGCCTCCCAGAGCATCACTGAGAGTGGCAGTAAATGKGTGCATTTTGGTTAATAGTGAGCAATGATGAAGGAGCAGCTCTGCCCTTTAACAGTCCTGCTGCTGCAGCTGCTTCCAGTCGAAGGTCCCGTCCAAATTCAGCTCAAAATTATCCTTTTCCTGCTCTCGGGAGAGCTCCAGAAGCACCTGGAATGGGCAAAAACACTTGGGTTGTTTCTCTGTGCTGCTCGTTTGCAGGAGGAACCTCCCTGCAGCCCCTGGGAGAAGTGAGGAAAAGCTTTTTTTGGGGCAGCAGCTGAGCCTCCTGTGCTCTCTGGATTTGACCCCTCAGGATTTCAGTTTCTCCATTTCCATGTCTCTGTACCCCTGGGATTCTTCAGTGTTTAACTCCAGACTGCACAGACAGTGCTGAGCTCCTGCTCTCCCATTTTCACACAAAACAATTCCTCTGCAGCCCCAAACTCAAGGACACCTCCCTG